ACTTGCTGGCTCTGCTTCTTTGTGGCTAGCCATTTTCAGAAAGTGTTGCTGGGCAACTTCTGCTCAATCCTGTGACATTTATGGAATGGAGCTGTGCAAGGATTCATCTTGTTCCCTGTTTACATGGAACAGATGGGAGAGGTTGTCCAGAGATTGGGAGTGGTGTGTCATCAGTATGTGGATGACACCCTTTCTTCCTAATAGTCAGATCAGGTCAATCTATGGAGGTCCTGAACAAATGCTCAGAGAAGGTACTAGAATGAAGAAGGGTCAATAAACTGAATTTCAGTCAAGACAAGGCTGGTGTGATGTTGTTCAAGGGAAGGGTTTGGAGCCCAGGGTAACAGCTGGATCATAGCATATGGCTGGAGGCTTAGATCTTCTCTAAAGGTAAAGATTTCCTTTGCTTGAAAGCCAGTCGAATCTGACTCTAGGGGGCTGTGCTCATCTCCGTTTCCAAGCCAAAGAGCCAGCACTGACTGAGGACTTTTCCGTGGACATGTGGCTGGCATGACTAAACGCCGAGGTGCACGGAATGCTGTTACTTTCCCACCAAAGCAGTACCTATTTATCTACTTGCAATTTCTTGCTTTCGAACTGCTAGGTTGGCAGGAGCTGGGGCCAGAGACAGGCGCTCACTCCATCACACAGCACTAGGTTCTTGAACTCTGAAGCTTCTGACCTTCCAGTCTGCAGCTCAGCATCTTAACTTTTGAGCCACCCCGGCCCCACATATCTTCTCCATTAGACCATTTTTATTATCTTTAACTGATAAGCTAGCTATCGTCATTCCTCAAAAGCTTTGATTTGGCCCTGGTGACCACATCTAGACTAATGCGAATCACTTCACATGGGCTGCCTCTGAGGACCAAAACCCAAAAAGAGTTTTAAAAGTTTTTTTTTTTGGGGGGAGCAAAACTGCTGTATAGAAACCAGGAAGATTGGAACAAGAAAATATCGTTTAATGAATATGCAATATTCCAAAAAATAATAGCACACAAAGCACATCCATTATCAGTCACAGAACAGAAGACCAAAGAAGAAAGCTTTATGTACTATCAGAGGTCATTTCGGGGGGGGGACGCGGGGGGACGCAGTTCCCCTGGGTGAGGTGCAGGGGGGCGGGGCACATGACGAAGCCCCGCCCCCTGCTTCTGGCCACCCCGCTTCCAGCCCTCATTCAGCCAGGAGGAGGCAGGAGAAGAGGGAGGGTAAGTTGCTTCCTCCCCGCCTCTCCCCACCCCTGCCTGCCTGGGGTCAGGGAGGGCCTTGGCGGGGCTTCCTCGCACTCCCACTGGCCTTGCGGGTCCACCGCCGGGCCCCTGATGTCAGGGGGTGTGGCATATGCTAATGAGTTATGCTAATGAGTCCCCCTAGCACTTTTTCTACGAAATGACCCCTGTGTACTATGATTATTTTGGGACATTTTCCTGTTTTTGTGATTGGTTGCAGGTTCAATATGAGGTGCCCAGATAGCCATCAAGGGTGTAATACAGGGATCCTACCTCCCTCATGGTGAAAAACCTGCACTGGCTGCCTGTACATTAATGGGCACAATGCAAAGTGCTGGTTCTTGTCTTTAAGTCCCTAAATGGATTAGGACCAGAGTAGCTGAAGGACTGCCTCCTCCCACACTGTCCAGCCTGTCAGTTAAGTTCCTCTGTTTTAACTTTTTTGTCCCTCATGCCTGATCATCAGTTCCATGCTTCCATAATGATTATCAGTTTTATTGCTGTTTTATGTTTAAAAAAATTAAACTATATTTTTATTGTTGTTACTTACAGCAGATTCTGGAAAGTGTGGGACAGAAATCTTTTTAAAAATGACAAGTGAAAGAAATGTGATGAATCCTGTGTGCTGGCTCAATTTATCAAGTAATCTGCTGTGCTACGGTTGCCGGTTCTCACCTTTGCTGCAGCGGGGGGCTCCTGGCTCCTTGTTGGAAATCTTCTGCCCCACACGTGGTGCGATGATGCCACCAGTAGTGATGTCATTATGCTACGGGTGTCATGCAGCGACGCTCTAGCGTTCAGGGCAAAAACTCGATGGTAACCATAGAGTTTCCCCCTTGAATGCCAGCCGGCCGGTGGCGGATTGGGCCCCCCGAAATCGGGGGATCCCCTGGCCCCACCAGGGGGATGGCAACCCTATGCTGTGCACATTCTCTGCAACAGAGTAGATCTGGGGTCCTCAACCCTTTTTAGCCCAGGGGCACAGGGTGCTGGACACAATCACAAAATGGCTGCTGCAAGAGGCAGAATCAACCACAAAATGTCAAGGAGTGAGGTTATGCATAATTCTAATAGTAATTCTTCAACATTTCAGAAAGAAGCTATGTTTAACAGGAGACCTTTTAAAATGAACATATTGTTGAAACATATTTCTTGCTTACACAGAGCTTACCTTCAGTTACACAGAGAAAGTCCTGGTGCTGTGGAGGTAGCTGCTGCCAAAGCAATTCTTTTATTCTGCACAACCAATCAGATCAGAAGCCTCATTGTGGAAAAGCCCCACCCACTTTCAAAAAACCCTTGGCAGGCACCAGGAAAGGTATCAGCGGGTGCCAGGATGCCTGCAGCAACATACTGGGGATCCCTGGAGTAGATCCTGCATGACTCTGGTTCACAATGGAGCCGAACTGAGCCTTGTGCTTTGGCCACACCAATTCTGACCTCGCAATAAAATATGGACAGTGCATCTAAACTGCATGGTTTGTTCTCACCCACTTTCCCACTAAGTTATGGAAACCAGTAAGCTTAAGAAAAAAGGCACACCAAAAGGAGGCAACAGGAGTTTGCGCCAGAGGAAACCCAGCATGTACAAATGTCAAGAGGGTTCTTGGATTCTTGGTTAAACTTTTTCTTTAAATAATTACAATAATTCCAAATTTGTTTACATAAGATATTTAAAATACAATAATGTGATTTTATACAAAGGCAGAGTAAGTTTTTGAGTACAAATGGCATGGCTCCAGCATCCACAATACCACTGAGGTGCACAAAGAGAACTCTGTACTTTAGATGCGACTGGGGAGACGCTAGGGTTGCCAGGTTTTACCTGGCTGCTGCTGGTGGTGGTGGTCCCTCCCCTTGCCCCGGACTTTTTGGTGTGTGTGCAGCAATGTCACCTGGAAGTGACATCATCACACAGGGCATGTTGCAGGGGGACACTCTAGCATCTGAGAAAAAAAAACTCTATGGTAACCATAGAGTTTTTTCTCAAACGCTAGAGCATCCCCTGCGCAACGTGCCCTGCACAATGACATGACCTCCAGATGACATCATTGTGCCAGGCACGTTGGTGCAGATGGGGCTGTTTGGGGGTGGGGCTCCCCCTGCCAGCCGACTGGGCAGTAGCGGATTGGGCCCCCTGAAAGCAGGTAAACCCCGCCCCTGTCAGGGAAATGGCAACCTTAGGAGAAGCTCCTGAGGAGGTGGGAGAAAAGGGCCAGGGATTTTTTGTTTTTAGCCAACAGATAATCTTCTGCAGAGAAGATTACTATAGCGACTGCTGGTGGAGTTCAAAAAGCACTGGCAAAGAGGTCTTGTTTCACCTCATGGCTCAAATTCTGTAGTTCCAGTTCAGAACCACTGAGAGGAAAGATTAACAAACGAGGAGGGGAAGAGAGGATGGCTCCTTGCAGCTTGGAGGCTGAAAGAAGCTGAAGGATTAAAATAACTCCTTGGGAAAACAGCCATAAAAATATGCCGACTGCCCAACTATGGCTGTTCTTATGAATGAAAGGGAGAAATAAAGAAACTCCCTAGGACAGAATGGTGGATTTTCCAGCATCTCCTGT